AGCCGGACAAACTGTTAAATAAACAAAGTTGAGGATACTGCATCTCCTTTTTTGTGAGACAATTCGTCTTTACGTTTTCTTCGAGTTCGATGATTGTTAGTGCTTAGTGTAATGATAATCTGTAGGTTCTCTGTATGTATCACCAAGTTAGATAGATATTGACTATGACTCATTGACTTGTTGTATAGTACCACGAGAAACAAATTGTTGACGCATTAGACAATGGACAACCTTAGCAGTGTCAGTGATTTGAACGAAGCTATCAAAAAACTGAAAGCAGACCGTGATGCTCAGATGTTTAATCGAACAAGTACACCGAGTACCAAAGCGCGTAGACAATATCTTGATGAACGCATTAACGAATTGACTCGAATGCGTAATCAAAAACTTCTAAAAGCTTATACACGCCCGGTCATTCGGCCATCAACAAGTGGTTCTAGTGCACCACGTTCAAAACTCGATACTCAACTCAGACAGGACACCACGAACATGAATACCAAGCGCGATAAAATAACACTCAAAATGACGCCTGTCTGGTTCGAGACAGACGATCAGCAAGAAGCATTAAAAGGCATCGTCTATCCACCGAATACCGTCGATTATCGACCATTCAATACGGTGGCTCGCTATCGAATGGCCACTGGCCAATCGAATAACTTTTGCCAACGGCCACTTGCTCTAGATGAAAGTTCTCCAGAAACACTCGTTTTAATGCTTGATGCTTTCGCTCAACAATTCGGTGCCGATCTGAGCTTTACTAAAAATGATATACCGTTCGACAAGAGTGTCCATCATATTGCCTGTGGAATAGCCAACTTGGGCAGTGCTCATCTGCTCGCTGCGAACTGTGTTCCAACGGCCAAGTTCTCAGTTATTGTTCATCTCGACTACGATAAAAATCTTACTGGATCGGATGACGGCCTGAAAGATTTTCTATTCAATTTTTCCCATGCAATTGCTCAAACATTAAATTTTTCTGAGGATTATCTTAGAGTATTTTCTATTGAAAAGTCGACAGACTCGCCGAACTCAACGATTATTCATCTTGGCTTCACAAGTCCGAGTCAGAAAGAGACTGAACAGATAGCTCACAATTTTCAAGTAAGTCATCCATTCTGATCTATCGCTTTCTGTGTTTTTGTTTTATTTTCTAATATACAGTTCGAAAGAAAGCTCAAATTGTGTTTTTTTTGAGTGATCAAAGTCTGAAGAGTAAAGCAGGACAGAGAAGTTCAATTTTGAGATTCAGCCCATAGAGAGACAATGCAAATACGGAGCAACACACAACATATCTTTTCAACTTGATTTTTCACTATTTTTTGGCCATTAGCTTTGAAGTGCTATCTGTTTCAATGTTTGAACTAAACATAGCAACAGATAGATCGTCACAAATTCTATTGAACTGTGTATTCAAAGTTTAGTTTTGATTGTACTACCAATGGAAGACTCTATTCTTCTGAATGCTCGACTTTCGAGGATATAGATTTAGTAGAAACTGAACAACTAAAGGGCTATCCAATGATATAGACCATGTGTGGCTCGCAAGTGTATAGAAGTGACGCTATTCATGAAAAAAATAGACATATTGCAGAATCTTTTTGAGAGTCATCGAAAAATTGATAAATAAATAAATGGATCCTAAGTAAATCTTGTTCTTCAGAATATTTTCTTTCCAAAATTCAAAGCTCAGGATGATGTGACATTCTCTCGTTGAGAAATAATGTTTGACTTTTTTTCATTTCTTCTGTATTGTATGTTATTTCAGACACAAGCTCGTTCAGGCTTCAAAGAAAATGCTGTACTACAATATATCAAACCAGCCGAGTACTCATACACCTTGACTCCCATGCTATCCTATCTTCAGCTAAGACCAAGTGATTTCGCTTCGGAATACAATATAGACTATAGAAAGTCAGATTTACCTGAGTCCGATCAACGTGGAGGTTATCCTTACTATTTGCCAATTGGCTGGTATTGCCATGGGCTCAAAGTCAATCAAAAGTATCCAAATGACGATGCCTGGCATGGTACTGTTAATGCTCAAGGCGAGTGGCCTGTGGCCTTCCATGGAACGCATTCAAATACAGTCAGTCGTGTTACTCAGCAAGATCACTTACTAAGTGCGACTCAAACGGACATCGCAAGGCAAGAAGCGGTGGAACAGATGGGACCAACAATGGATCAATCCGGAATCTATTTGACCACTCATTGTAATGGTGGTGCTCATCCACACTATACGAGGCCATTCTGCTTGGAAATGCCTGATAAAAAGAACAAAACGTTTCGAATTGTCTTTATGTGCCGTGTACAGCCAGGAAAATTCACTACTCATAAAGTTTCCGTCTCAACAGGTCATATTTGGCGTCTTGTCGATCCCAATGCTGTTAGACCATATGGTATTCTAATTAAAGACGAAGACGTAATTGACAATAAATAAACGCGTAATAATCATTTTGTTGCTTTTTCTGTAAGCATAAATTTTATTTTCGATTTCTAAGAGTCTGTTAAGTTATACACTAAATAACATTTACTGTGTGTGGCAAAGATAAGACCATGATTTGACATCAATGATTCTTCCGAATACTTTTCAGACTTTCTCAAGATTGAAACGCCCACACCCACATCCCACACTCTTGTGCTGTTTAGATGACGGGAGTGACCGTTTGTAGAACAGTTGCAAAAAATCAAGGGAGCAGGCGATTCAAAGCGATCAGAACATTTTTTCGCACTGAACATCATTGGCTATTAATTGATAGAAGATCGGTTTTTTTCGTCGCTCTGTTTCCTAAATATCGGGTCTCCGAATTGTTCAAAACAACATATTCTCCACCTACAGTCAATAGAAATCTTACGGAGTGACTGAATGATATGAATCGATGAAAAAGCCCAATGGAGAGTTACATATATTTCAAAAGTTTCATGATAACTTGACGAATTCGAAATATTAAAGCGTCCAATTTACCACGTAGAGTGGGTATGAGTGTGTGCCTTCGCTTAGCTCACACTCACATTCTAGTTTCTCGTTTAACTTAGGTTAGAATGAATAAATACGATAGGTTTGCTCGTAATATTTTGAAAAAGATGGCCCACGCTCTTTGCATTACATTAATTATCTAGAGAGAGACTAAATAAAATTTGCTTGCTATGCATGCTTTCTCTTGATCCTTTTTTACGAAGAAGACGATGTTTCTGCATAAGGTATATTTGAGTGATTGTTTTCATTTGCGCAGAAAAAATGCAATAAGCAAACAGCGCATAATGCACATTGTTAATTGTCAGCAGTTGCTTTTTTCCGACTTTGAAAAAGACAGAACACAGTCAATGCGTATGTAAAGTGATTGTAAACGTATGTGTGTCAACAACGATGTTATGATGTTGTTAATGCTACTGTGAAAGCAAATTTCTGAAACACTTCTACGCCGAGTGACAGGCAGCATTGTTTATGAAAGATGTTGTTAAGAAATAAAATATTGGACACTTGAGTGACACGTTCTCAAGATATTTCCAACCGATACAGAATGTAACACTATTGAGCTGAATCAATTTTGACTTTTTCATTGTCAATGGCCAAGTTGTTGAGCATTATGTTGTTACCAACGATTGCAAGCATGAATTGACTGTTATAGGCGTTTAATCATCATAAATGCTTTACGATAATCACTAATTGGAGTTCGAGTTTCTATGCTGTAGATGTCGTTTTCCGGTATAGTTTTATAGTTTGGGTTGATTCGTAACATCGATATTTTCTTCGGAAATGAATCTCGATCACTTCAGTAGAAGTAAAGATGGAGATCAGTAACTATTGTGGTGCTTTTCTTTCTGAAAATAAAATTTGTCGACAATTATTTCGTTTAATCACCTCATGAATAAATATGTATTGAGACAATGCAGAGAACAGCACTTCTACATGTAACAATCAGAAATGAAGTATTTTCAACATCATTGGAATGGAAGTCTGTGCAGAACGATTTTTGCCAGATTGAAATCCGTCATTAATTCAATATAAATCGTTAAATTAAACTGATGATAAGTTATTTAATCCTTCAGTTTTGAAACACAAAATCGTGGTTGTTTTTGCTAATGTGTTAACTAAGAATAAACCATCTATGTATTCAACTCAGACTTCAAAAAGAACTCTGATAACGATGTTAAGTTGGAGATGGGTGAAAATAGTCAAAAGAAACAAGCGACCTCTTACAAGTGTTCACTGAGTTTTAGGTTCAGACGAGAGTGTAGACATGTTGTTCCAATTAGAAGACATTCGGTCGATTAGCAGAATTTATTTGCAATGTTCGGCAATGCAACTCTTGAAAGTGCGCATTGCTTGTGATGAGTATTTCAAATGATAGTGCAAAGGTACATCGATATCCCAATTCATATTGACCGTTTATCTGTCATACTTCTTCGTAGATCATGAATTAAAGGATAGCACCTAGCGATCAAATATCCACTTTCCATGAAAATGCCTATCAGTCGATAAATAGTTATCCAGTTGCTTCACTTCTTAGGGTGTGGATGTAGTTATATGTGAGGTGTGTGAGTTTGGGGTGTAGCTATATCAGGGTCTAGATTTGGGTCTGTGTCTTTTCTACATCAACAGGTTATATGTGAAATTCGAAAGTTGAATTCTATTATCGAATGATTGCATCAAAGCATTTATTTCGCTGAGGTACAATAGCATTGGAAAACTCTGATCATTAGTGTCAATTACACATGCTCATCTCATGAGATCCAATATTTCAACACGTTATTATTTCGACCATAGACTATGACAAAGTTTACACGATTTCCAACTATTTAACCCATCATTGTATAGCTAGTCCATAGGACTATAAGTATAAAAATATGAATCAGATTGGGTGAGTCTTTACAAAAAAAACACCCAAGAATGTTATGGGTACATGAAAGATGCGCACGGTACGAGAATTAAACCACCTTTATTATTAAAAGAAAAATATGTGTAAAAAAATCGCAAAGCAAAATAATTACGTTGCATGAATCTATTTCGAGTTCGTAGTGAAATCGATGGCCATACGACCTGTTAAACGACAATTTTTCATATTATCGAAGACCTCATTAATTTGTTCAAGTTGACATGTTTGCACTCGACATTCAATATTATGCTTTCGTGCCATATCAAGTGCTTCTTGAAGGTCGTTTCGCGTGCCGACTAATGAGCCCACGATTCGAATCTGTTTGCCTATACACTCGTTCACTGCAATCGAAAGTTTCTCTGCTGGAATACCAACCAGAACGAGACAACCACCTGGTTTTAATGATTGTAGTGCTTGTTCGTATGCAGAAATAAGAGGAACAGCAACAATTGCTGCCTGAACACCTCCGTTTGTTTTTTCTTTGACAAAGTCACTGTGCTGATCACCAGGACCATTATAGACTAAAGATTGAATCAAAAAAGGAGATGTAACAATAGCTAAAGTAAATATTAAGTGTAAACAGAAGACTATTTCAAACCCCCTTCGAAAGTTCTTCTATAACACGAGTTCAAGACTTTTCAAAGATAGAATAAAACGATAACTATACAAGGGAAGCCTCGTTATGTCGAATAATTTCGAACTGTTAAAACGACTTAATACTTAACATGTTGATCAAGAACAATAAGAGTAGTTTGCTTTTTTTTAGATTCTCCACAGAAATCAACTTTCTGATGATAGTAATCGACTTACCTTCATCAGCTCCCATTTCAAGCGCCAGATCGGTTGTAGCCTACACAATTTCAGTGAAACTAAAATTAACTGGACCAATTCTTTACCTGATCCTTTTCTGCTACAATTCCGATGACACGAAAGCCCATGGCTTTTGCATACTTGATGCCGAGAGAGCCTATAGAGAATATTATTTTATAATGCATAAGATTTAAAAAAAGAACTTGCCTAAACCACCAACACCAACGATCGAAATCCAATCGTTTGATCGTGCTTGTGAAACTTTCAAAGCTTTATACATGGTTACACCTGCACAGTAGAGCGGTGCTGCTTTGAACGGATCCATGCCATCTGGTAATTTCGCTGCAAAATCAGCGTTCATTAAAGCATATTCAGCAAAAGCACCACTCTACAAAGCATTCAGTATTTATCGATCTAGAAAGTTGTTGATATATTCAAAGAAGAAAGAGATTATTAACCCTAGTCACTCCAGTGGCGATTTTTGTATTGCAAAGAGTTTCTCGTCCATCGAGACAGAATTCACATTTAAGACAAGTTCCTTGAAGAAATTGAATGCCAATTAAATCTCCAAGTTTTAGGTGATATCTTTCAGGAGTAACATTTGCACCAAACTCGACTATTCGACCTACTCCTTCGTGTCCCAAGATAAGAGGTAGAGGAGGTTTGATATGAAAATCTGTTGATATGTTTTGAAAAATGGAATCGTTAATGGAATATATCTGACTTATTTACTTACCGCCACAAGCTCCATGAAGATCGCTGTGACAAATTCCACAGGCAATCAGCTTAACGAGAACATCATTAGGTCCTGGTTGAGGAATCGGCACCTGCTTTATTTCCAACAAAGCTCCATATTCGGTTATAACAGCTGCTTTCATCATATTGTTTGTCATCAGAATAAGCAAGAGGTCTTTTTATCACTTTCCACGCTAACGATAAAAGTCCTGTTTCGCTGCAGTATATATATATATATGTGTTTTTTAATTATACCAAGGTGCAAGGTAAGCATGAGATAAAGAAGGACAAATGAAAGATAGTCGATGCATAGCAAATAAAAGAAAGAGAAGATATGAAGGTCGTTCAAAAAGTTCTAACACTGATTTCATTTGAAAATAACAAGAAGCACTGCTGCATTAGTATTGTTGTCTGTGTGTAATTCGTATGGTTCTCGATCTATCGACATCATGAGATCGGATCGGTTAAGCATTTGTGTCCAGATATAGTAATACTTTTTAGATCGCTCTATATACACTGATAGGATATTTTAAAATTCGAACATCCTTCAATGATAAAGTTTCTAGCACTAAAAGACCAATTCCCATCGAATATTCATGAATATATGATGGTGGTTTATAGTGACCAACACTCCATTACACCCTACAGTTTCTGAATGGAATTGCAGTTTTAAAGCCGAATAATTAAATATTGACGATGATCTTTGATGTAAATGACACAAATATTAAAATAACTAGAAGTTTTAGTCATCAAAAAGTCTCAAATTGCAATTCAGCAAATAGTAGACAGTTTTAGCATTTCAAATGCATGATACATGATCAGTTACATGTGACCAAAAATATGTTCTAGACAAATGTGACATTCAATAGCATCTGTAAAAACTATACATTGTTCATATGTTAATGCTTACTTGTTCATCTGTGAAACGACGATCCCGTTCAAAAACCATAGCGCGAAATAGAACATTATTACTATAAGCTATCACTATGTGTTCATAAATATTGGATGGGAACTCATCATCCAAAACATAAAAATTTTGCTCAAGTTTTTGATTTTCTATCAGTGTGTGTGGAGCGATTTAAAATGTATTCACATATTTGAATACAACTGAGGTGTGGCTATGGGGTACTAGTGTGGATATGGATGCCGCTGAACAGAACAGTCATAAGCACAATGAGCGAGATCATCACAAAATTGTTACTTTTCTTTCTTCTCAGAGAGATGTCTAATAGAAAACTACCAAGATTTGTGTATAAATCTTGAAAAACAAAAATTTCACTCGGAAAATGACTGCTTCTATTCTGTTCTATGATAAGTGAAGAATTATTTTAGTCGTTGGCTCACTGGTGTCTCATATCGAAAGATTGAAAGAAAAATTATCAGTCATGTTTTTCTATCAGTGCACTATAAAGCAAACATTCTTTTTCAATCCATGGAAATTACTAATAAATAATAAACAATGATGTTGTCAGTCAACCATTCAATTGCATCTCTTCGATAGAATTGAAGCCAACCTTAAGCTCATCCATTGATTATCTGTTCAATTATTATCAATGATAGTCTGGTAGAAATAAAACAGAACAAACCACCCTCGAAAGATATCTTACCTCTACTATCTCCATACTTAATAACTTACGTGAAACGCTTTTGATTATCATTTCCTATAGAGGAAAGTTCAACAAAAAAAATATACTAATAATGCCACTAAATGAAGAAATTCATATACTAAGTCGATCAGAATGGTGTGGGTGTAGCCTTCATAGAAAAAATTGAATAGAAAAATCAACTTTCCCACATCCATGATTGCATCGACCGTAAACAACTGTGCACGAGCAGTAATTTACCCGTTTGGTAGAGACAATATGACGAACGTATGACTCCCTGTCGTTTACGGCGAAGTATACGCATCTGTTACGCTAATGTCTATGCCTCAATACGGTCGTTTTCTAACGGACACAGCAGAATACATTGATGTTTACGAGCGTATCTCCAAATAAATCACCGCACCAAGTGCACAGAGAATAAAGAGCATTCATAAATGAGATATTACGTCTTCATATCGCTCAGATCAATAATTTCGCATTCTGGATTCGACAAGAACTAAACTAGAAGTAATGCGTACCGAAAAAAATGCCTTTAAAGGATTTTTTCACAAAAATTGATTCTTTTCTCGATTACAAATAGTCTTATACAGAGGTGGCATGCTTAAGTAAAGGCCTCATTTTATTGAAATCCATTCATTTAGAATAAGAATGCTATCGCAATTAGTCCTTTTCCTTTCAGGGAGATTTTTCTATCAATATATATTTTAAATGGAGTAGCCTCCAAGAAGACCTTCGTAAGTCTAGAAAATCTTTGCTGTGTACTTAATGCCCATGTAAAAAAAAAGGCGACTGGATATTTTTTTTTCTGAATAAATTTTCATAGGGTACGTTGATTTTCAAAAAGATGGATTGAAAATTTTAAAAAAGTAACCAGGTCGAAAAAACTTATTATATACGATTCGATGCATCTTCATCTAATCTTTCTAAAGATAAAAATCACCGCTCTCTACTTTGTTTCTATCAAAAGTTAATAAAAAACTTTCCACTCGCTTGTTTTTTGGAAATGAACATTAATAGGATACGGATCTACGAAAAATAGTCGAGAAATTCATAATAAAAAATAGAAAAAAACCTTCAACTGAGATAAATAAATTAAAGTATTACAAAAGAAAACGGAATACTCCATTACCAAAATGCAGATCAGTACAGCAAAGCGTATGTTTTGCTGATACATACAACATATGAAATAGAATTTCTTTTGAGAATTAAAATTATCAGATTCATGACTTTTCATGAAATTGTATCGAAATAATTCTAATATAAATATAAAAACAAGAAAAAAGTATTTCGAGTATGCAAATGTGGTAAATTATTTTTTTCCTTTTTGTTATAAATTTCCCGACTGATTGTCTTAGATCTGTTTTTTTTTGTGTTACAAAGCAAAGATAGATACATATATTTATATGTAAATAGCATCTTGATCCAAAATGTAATATTACAAGTGAAGAAATATATCGATACAAGTTGTCACATGATTCTTTTTTGATGATGATGTCATCGCATAAGTTATCGACAATAACTATAAAGTTATTTTTTATTTACATTATTCAATAAAAATCTATTGAAAGACACAAAACAAATATATCTATTTAGTTATAAATGATATAAAACCTTGTATATGTGTACAAAGAAAAAAATAAAATGTAATGATACTTCATTGATGTATTAATAGGTATGGGAAACATGACAAGAAGATTATTAATGTATCAATATGGATCAAAAGTATATCTATGTGAAAAATTCTTTTGAAAAATAAGTGATATCCTATTAATCAATAGAAGTAAATAAGTGTCAAATGAGGATAAACTTCAATTAGAAGAATAATACAACAAATGTCTGCTTTTCATAATCAATTTATCTGTTCAATCAAACGAGTATAATAATAATTCGGATCTCAAAAAAAAAATAATATGTTATTGAACGAAAGAATACAAGACATTTATTACAGGAAAAGAGAAAAATGACAGAGCGAGACGACAATAATATTCACACTGTATATATGGCGGTGTTAGAAACCGTTTTTATTTATCCTTATTTCTTATTATTTAAATGAAATAAAAATAGATATATAATTGAATCCACTAACTAAATTTCTTAAAATCGTTCTATCTGATATAGTAGGGTAAGCATTAGTACAAATGTGACGCGTTCGAATAATAATCAACAATTGATGTAAGAAAGCTTTCTCCATAATATTATTATAAACGAATTGATACGATCAATATATATGTTGTTAGTTCCATTTTATATCCATAATTGACTCAGGAAATAAAATAATTTTCATAGATTTATTTTAATTGAAGTTAATTGTCTTTTGAAAACGAGTATGTATCATTATTCTAGTAAAGTTATTATTTGTATTGTCCAATTAAGTAACGAGATATACCGAATGATCTTCGTGTGAATTGACTGAAGTAAAGGCTTGTGATAGTAATTATGATGACATACATACAATCAATTAGTTTCTAGGAAATTGGTTTTCAATTATTCCTTTTTATTACAGAAAGAGATTATCTTAATTGTCGTATTCAATTTAATGGTGAAAAATCAATTTGATTGATTAACTTTTATTGAATATGGTTGAATAACGAATATTTAACTGCATATTCTCTGACAAAAAAAGAGGATAACTATTGGTATTAAACAATGCTTGAAACATCAATTGCAGCAACAACTACGTCATTTTCAAATGCGCTATTGAAATGATAATTTAATCTATATATTGAAGGTTGCTTTGTGTATTTAGTTAATAGTCAACTTTTTCTTTAGCATTAATGAGTAAATTTTTTTTCTGTTTGTTTGTTTTGTATTGCCAATATAATGGTTAAATTCGATCACTTGTGTATGTACTTTTTGTTTTATTCAAGGAATAAGGAATATTACTGATAATTGATATACTTGTTTTCTTGTAGGTTTCAATGTGATCAACCTTTTGATAAAGTACAATATCTAATGACTATTTCTTTTATTGTTTCATCTATTGAAAGTATAAGAAAAAGTAAATAATACAAAAGTTCATCGCTTTATTCTTTGATCATATTGAATATCAACCTCTTCACATTTACAAAACAGATTTTCAAAATGTGTTTTCTTTTCTTTGAGTCAACAATAGATTTAATAAATGAATGAAATTTGATACAATAAAAAAGCTTGATTATTAGTAAATAGATATACAAGTCATTTATTAGTAGTTCTAAAAATTCGAGTTGTTATAAGTATACAAAGACAACTATGATTACAGTATTTTCATGTATTCTTAGTACAGAAGTATTATTGAAAAATGAGATGTTTCATATTTCATCTTATATTATGATCATACTAATGATTATTTGTCATGACAGAAAAAAGAAAAATACAATAGTAAGCTTCATAAATAAATCATAGAAGATTTCAATTTGTATTATGATTAAACCTAGAAGAAGAAGAAGAAGAGACATTACAATAACAAAAAAAAAAAACTCAACTCAAGTTTCATTTTACTTATCAATTCAAATGCTCTTGCTGCTTAATAACAACAGATTTGTATCGTCTATTATAGAAAA